AAAGTTGTTGAACGCTTTAAAGATTACGTTAGCTAGCTATTTCTTCACTCCCAGGAACGGAATCTTTTTAAAATATTGTTTACCTCATGCTCCCGGAATCCCTGCCTGATTAAGCAAGTGTAAATAATTTGTTAATTTATCAAAGCTTTCGAAGCACGCATCAGTCCTGTGCAACCGAACACCGGCAGGTTCAGCGAGGTAAAAAATTACTGAGGTAACTTGTTTCCATTCCCACTGCACATCACCTGAAAAAAGCAAGCGGCAAGTTTACGACATTTCAGATAAAACATTGCTCATAATCTAATATTTAGGTTTAATCCGCACGAGCAATCTCCTCGATTTCACGTTTGCACCCAGGAAGTTACACCGGGAAACATTTGCACCCTTGATCTCTGTGAAAAAATATATTGACAGGACCTAATCGGATTCTATTCATTCATGTTCTCTCACTTGATGCAACGTAATTTCATGCAGTATTACACGAAGGACAGATTGACAGCATAATTTTTTACAAGCCCATCAAAAATGAATTTGGATGTACACATCTACTTAAGATTTGTCCGTGTATATCATCCTAAGAAGTAGAAATCGGGTCGTACCGAAATGCCGATGAGTGTAAAGGGTTTTGCTGACATTAAGCGCCGTACAGATGCACTAATCAACGATATTTGTTAAAATTCAGCTTGCAACGAATTTCCAAGGATAGCTTTGAAGACGCAGTTTGTCTGCAACGATAGAACCATTTCTATCCGCGTACGCTTCGCAGTGGTATCACCATACGTTTTCTGACCGTCATTCGCCCATCATCAAACTTGCTGCCAATCTTCTAAAACCCATTTACTGCTTGCACTGTCATTCTGTGCGAACGACATTTCTATTTCCAACAGGAAGTGGAAGTGAATCAATAGCAATTTAACATATGGTCATCGTATAACACTCCTCTCTACAGACTTTCGAAACAAGAAAATGGATGATGATTAGCGTCACATAGGTATATTAATCATACTTGCAGGAAGGTCGCGGTAAATTGATTGTTCTTCTTTATCTGAATGCCACTAAGAAGTCCACTTTGAAAAGGAAACTGTCCTGGGCGAATTGACCGCAAGCGTTTCATTCCCTGTGCGTTATTTAGAATAGCATTCTTCCGCGGCTGCAGGTTTGTTGATTTGCCCACAATCAATTGCAAGGAATATTTTACCATTTGGGCAACCTCTAATACAAAAATGGCCTATAGTTGAACAACTGCACATGTAGCTCTGGTATGCGTGAGTTACGCGTAATTCGCAACTGGCTGATGATTCTGTCACAATTATGACGTCAGATGACGAAAGATCATCCACTAATACTGCATTCCTGATAAGTTAGTTATTTGTTTGTTTGAACTGCTTCCCGCGTAAAACTGTCACGTGGTTTCTGAAAATTCAACTGCGCACTCTGCTGCACGTAGAACGTACGTGGAATTCGAAGATTATTTTGAATTTTTCAACCTGAATTACTTGGCTGATGATTTTTCGCGGTCAGTATTTTGTCTTCTGCGTGTGAAGACCGCCAATGTGGGTCACCTCAGTCTGTTATCTGCGGGTTGCGTTTGCAACTATGTTGGTAACGTTCGTCTACATTTTGAAACGGCTTGGCTACCGCGTTCCACAGCAGTCAATAACTTTCCAAGTAGATCAGTATCAACGTTCGTGCCTATCATTAACTACACTTTAGACGGGCATCACATTGGTGCACTTCGGTTGAGACAACACAATTGTCCCCGATCAGCGATGATTCATTTGTTTCGCCGCAGCTTAAACGTCGTGTTCGATAATGCATATTGCACGATAGTAAAGCAAACGCGCCTATTTGCATTTTATAGTCTGGGTGAACTCCAGACTTATTGGACGGGCGTGTTTTGAAATGTTATTCGCAATGTAAACTCGGTGACAGAATCATTCCTCACGTTACCAGCCTTTGACGTCTCGTTTAAAATCTGTCTTGTGTGTGTGCTGAATTGTTTGTGATAATTTGCTAGCACACTAAGCGTTTGTGAGAATATCGCGGGTGTATTCGCAGGGGAAGCTGCTAAATCAACGAACATTCGCAAGTAAATGTAGAAAACTAACTTACGTCCTTTCGAGTTGCAACCATTTCCCTCCATACCGTCCGCCATAAAGACACATTATTCAAAGTTTGATGTATAAATTTAATCCATGGAGAATCTTCGAGCACAGGTTGTTGTTAACTTCTTGTTGGATATCACATAAAAACGGATTCACATTCCCATAAATCTACAGTTGCATGATGATCATAGTGTATACAAACGTGCGAACGGTCATCTGCTCAATGGATCCTGATAATATACGGACCAGCGTTGGCCGTTAAGTGCACCAAACCTCATCCTAGTTTAGTTGGTTTGTATAACCCGAAAGATGCTCTCACGCTAGCTGTTTAATGAAACAGCTGTTGGCGGCACCTAATCGAAGGCTAGTCATTCTTGTTAGCCGACGTAATTTCGTGCGTGATTTTTTGAAGCTCCGGTTGACTGCATTCCTCAATGCACCTTTTCCAATGCACATTTGGAAGCTAATTTCGTTATCCAAGGGGACGAGATGCTTGATAAAGTAGTTATTCACAATGTGCTCCTAGAATCTCTAATCCATTAACCAAGTATGCACAAGTGATTCGCCTAACACGTATGTCTCGAAACACGCATGAGACATGTGCAAACTGAACACCGGCAGGTTCAGTGAGGTAGAAAATTACTGAGATAATTAGTTTCTGTTTCCATGACACATCCCAAACAATAGCAGGTGGTGAGTTTTTAACATATCAAATTAATCATTTCTGACAATCAAATATCCAGGTTAAATCCACACGAGCGAATTTCTGGATTTCATGATTTTATCCAGGAAGACACACCCCGGAGCATCAGAGAATTTTCATTATTTGTACACCCGTGTTGCCAAATATCGGCACGTAACAACGAAATTTTTTGAGGGCTAATGAGGCAGTAGAACTGGAAATGCGTAACATTTCTGGCTAGCTTATTCCGTGTCCAGAACATCCAGTCTAACGCAAATATTAGGCAGCTAAGCGGCTCTTCGTATGAATAGCTGAGCCTTAACGGCATGCGCCTTTTTTCCAAGAAACCTGATAGAGTGGATGGAGGTTTTAAGCAATAAACTAGTAACAAACGAATTTTTCGGAACCATTTGG